GAATGTGGTGAAGGACAATTAGAACTCGTTGTCAGCCTAGCGAGGGGCGGAGGCCTCCCGTCCCCCATTTTTCCTGCCCTTATTGTGCCCTATCCTCGTTTTTCGTCCTCATTCCTGCACAAATGGTATCAGAGGGGGCGTCGAATTCAAACCATGTGCAGATCTCCGAAACCATTTTTCGTGAGCAGTGCCTTTAAAAAGTGGTTGTTGGCTCAGTCTCATGCAGCAGATTGTAAATATTTTCCAGAAAAGATTTTCTTCGGTCATCGATTGTCTTTAATCCTATTGTCACTGAAAAAGAGACGACTCACCTGGCAGTTCTTTAGTAGAATTGCAACAGCTGCCACTTTTACCTATCATAACTTTACGAATTCCTCGGCACCACTTCTGAAAAATGAAAACCAGTCGGTGAAGGGATTGTAAGTTATCTGAGTATATGGAAGTGGAGAGTGGTTTACGCGTTCAAAAAATGTATATTAAGTAGTCGACAGGATCGTAGGGAATGGGGAAATTTTCAGCGCAACTGGATTGCCTTCACAGCACCTGTTTTGCCACCTGGTAGATACGTGTCTACCTTTCACTGCTTAATATCCAGCTTTACCTTGTCGTACCATAGTTAGTATCATTTACAGCGGGGCTTCGCGATCGGTGGATTCAGTTCACTACCATTCTGATTGTCTGAAAAGCTTTCCTTATCTCCAGCAGTTGGTGTCGATGATTGACTGCTAAAGATATAGCAATTACTATCTGCACCAAATAGTATAGTCGTCCCGTAGGCGACTCTACTGGGATAGATATGTATGTAAGTACGCATAATAACTGATAACCCTCTTTCTCCTGTAATGAATTCACCCTCTTTTCTTGGGCGATTTTCAGCAGAATACTAGTGATCCACCAAAAAAAAAGTCGGGAGCGATACACTACTGTACTTTCCACTCATATACTCAAAGAATCCACTTTTTTTACTCGGTGATTACCCAGAAGTAAGCCATGAAATCGATTGCGCCACTTATATGTCAAAACGTCACCCAGCCGTGTGCAGCACTTTAATGTTGAACATTCTCTCAAGAATGGCACCATCTCTGCTACGAATCACCATGTTTGTGAGACATTTTCTGGAGCTTTCAAAGATTATATGGATGGATGAGAGTTAGTAGGCAGTGGCTACGATAAATTGTAGTATGTGCGAATAGAAGATTGACTTATCACAGAGATGAATGTATGGCGAAAAACAATGTTATCGGAAACATTTATTGTGGAAGATTTCTTCGAGAATAAGCGGTAGTGGAGCGCTTTTCGACGCTGCTCCACAGAGCGCCTTTCCGGACCATGTCGCTGTTGGCAATTGTGAATCATTATCACGAGTGGGCGTGGATGCAGAATTGTTTCGTAATACAGAAAATCGTCGGTACGTAGCCGAATTGACAGGTATTGCGTGTGACAGGCCTACCCTATGGGATTTTCATCTTATTCAGAGATGACGAATTTTCCATTCCTTGTTGGTGGCTAGTAGGAACCTTTATCTTGTATTACCTATATCACCTGCGGTCCCGTTGATTATCGATTTCCTCGATCGAGCGCTAGAAACTCCATCTCCATTCGTCGCTGTCACGAGCCAGAGTGGCAGCAAATCGTGCTCAATTCACGGAAGCGAGGCTCAGTTTCGTTCCGAGCTTCAGTAATAAACTCTGACCATTGGAGTTGGCTGCCGACCTGGTGTTCGCTTGACGTCCCGAGTGAGTCAGTTACTTGTAATCACGATATCGCATAACGTGTCCGACCCACCTTATCTCCGTTCTCTTACGGACCTCGGAGCTCCGGATTCCCTTCTGCTCTTGCGTGTATAAGGAAATTTCGAGCATCGTTCTTTCCAAAGCGTAACACTGGCTGCATGTTCATCCAGCTTTCGGAGTGTCAAAGTCATAATCACAGCGGTGTCGAAACGTTCCATTCTGTGAATGAAACGCTTGAGAGACCCTAAGAACCTTGATTCCAGGTTTTTTCTTACAAGAAAGTGGAAATCAAGGTGAAGGCTGTGTATTGGGAAATGAGTATATTGATAGTGAATAATGATAGGTACTCTACAATGTGGAAACGGAACAACATCACGTAACAGTGGCAAGGGCAATGGTGAAAATCATTAAGTTGTTCCATGTGGCTCATTTAAGCAAACCTTATCACGTTGGGGGCATAATCACCCCACATTGACTGTTGGAATAGCTGAGGATGTTTTGGCAATGGGATCAGCAGCCTTTGCTTTCTGAATTTCCATCTGATAACAGAACAAGGGCAGTAACGTCAGTTGGTAACCATGTTGGGGGAAAAAGGAAGTTCCAAACTCAAATGCGTAGAGCCCTAGAATTACAGAATTCTAGCAACCACAACCTGAATATCCTTTCTTGGCACATTAGAGAAGGAACATGAATATGAGCGATACAAGACAACTTGGGGATCAGCTCATGATAAGCTCTAGATTTTGTCAATTAGAAGGAACTGAGGCGTGATGATCTAGCCAGGAACATCCTAAACTTCCGTCATTGGAGGGCCTTCCCCTGATCCGCCCGAGAATCTGACCGCCCACACTTTACATTCCCAATACTTTTGTGTTTCCAGAACATCATGGAATATGTTCAGCACTTGGAATATGTTCAGGGCACATGAGGAATGATACACATAAGGCTTTCCATTCAAAAAGAAAGCTTTTCGAATGGATATTTGCCCACGTAACAAAGGGCAGCAACTATTGGAACCTACTTACCTTAGAGACTGATGTCCAGCCTCAGAAGAGCTGAAGATTTTAAATGTTTGTGGCGGAATCCCTTGCTCCGTTTGCGCCGTTGTGATTTCAGAAATTTGCACGAAAACCTTTTGGTCTCCAACCCGAGTCACTGTAGTCCTTGTACGGGACATTTCAGCCGACCAGGCCGTCTACACATGCAGTACGAAGAGCGACAGTTCGGCTTTTCTCTCAGGAAGCTTCCCTGGTTGACCCCGTGTCCAAGGGGCTGACCAGATAAATCATTACAACAACCTGCTGTGATCGGCAGGCGGCGTCCCCTCTATTTCTCCCCCACACTAAGCGGGTATGTTTTTGCTGTGCTGAAGCTTTTCCGCTCGTAGCTGCACGGCGTGCTCATTTCGGTTTCCGACTCAAAAGTGGGGAAGCCACTGTCACGAATTTAACGCCGACCCAAAGCATATTCTGTCAGTTGTTCGGCCAGTTCCCTAATCACTGGTGAGCGGTGAGCAGTTGCCGTCAAAGAAGGTTGGGTTTGATTAGTGGCACGCAATGAAATGCCATGGTATGCAAATTCCACTGTACATCCAAAGTTCTACTTGACGGCTGTTCGATTTTTATTCATGAAATGTTTCCAAAATTAATTCATATGCTCACTTTAGCTGTCGTATGTTGCACTGCCCTCAAGGATGTGTTACACTGCATTCCCAGTCACCATCGTGTGGGCCGTCTCGTCGTAGTGCTCGTTGCATTGCGTTCACCGCCACCGCATTCCAAGCACGCATACGTATATACCTCATGTATTGATAGTATTCTCATACCTTACACCGCACCTTGCTCTTGATTTTGTAGGAGATGAACGTGGGAGAAGAGGAACGAGTGGGACAACTTTAGAAAGTGGGAACTCTTCAAGGAATACTGTCTGTATCATGTAGCAACAGCTTTATTCCAAACCGAAAAGAGCCCCTCAGAGCTCAGACCCTCCCGAAATCCTTTACTGCTTCTCCATAATGAGCGAGCTAAGCTATCACAGGAATGAAATCATTATTATTCAAATATTTTGTCTGCCGTAAGGCTTTTGTTATGCTGTGAATGTTTCTGGAATGATTGACGATGTGTGCCGTCAAATTCTTCATTTCGCTAGCATTTATTCACTGCTAGGGCAGCCATACTGGTCTGAATCAGCTCAACATTCAGCCACGTCCCGTCCGCTTTATTTTTCATTTGCTTGGCCGTCGGCTCCTGAAGCCTTACATGATGAATTCAGTCTCTGTCAACTTTCCGAAAGATCTGTTCCTTACTGGTTGAGTAGTGATTATGTATAGCAGAACAAAGTATAAATGCAGCGTATTTGTATTTAGTATGGCAGTGTGACGAAGAGTAACAGGCTGAAAAATCCATTTTTCGAAGGTATTAGTTCAAAAAATAAGGAAAATGTAGACACCGGATGATTCAGGTGTGACGAGGTCCCTCGAAGTCAAACTGAACGAGGAATCAGTTTCAGCGTTGGTTTTTCTGGCACGGAATCCCTTTAGGGGATGTAGAGGGTGTGCGACCAAACTCTCAGGGAAATAGAGCCGACTTTTAGGGATCTCGCGAAGTTTGACTTCGAAGGCGGTCAACCCACCTATTCTAAAAGTAAATTATTGTCCAAGGAGGAACTCTACTCAGTTACACTCTTTTAGCAATATCCTCTTACAGATGACCCTAATAATTTCTCATTTTCTTTTTCTGGCGTAGCGTAACGCTTCGACAGTAAACAACGAATCAAAACCACGAATAAACGTTTTCCGGATGTTTGCACTTTGCCCTTTTTTGTCCAAAACATCGCACCCGCTACCTGTATTGACCTTGTACTTTTTAAATTGTATTCCTAAGATAAGCATTCAATTCCAAATCATAACCGAATCCCCTGTCAACCTGTCGATCACGTTGTTGTCTTCTCATCGATTGTGAATGCTCGAGCTCAATCGATTTCAGCGTCGGGGGTGCAGATCGCCTTGTGTTCGAGTGTAATCCATTATGGAGGATGCACAGCCGGCGAGCCCTCCAGTACCAGTTGAACGAAAACATCAGGTAATCGCCGCTCCCGACCTCAAGTATTGCCAACCCTTAGGGCTCTGCTCGTAGTGGCTCTACGGGATGCTATGTAATTTTCAACATCGCTTCCGATAGTTGTTTGAACAGCAGAATTCAGATAAGGATGGTGGAGGCGAGGGAGAATGGTGGTCCTATGCATAATGGTACCATGCACAGCGAGCAAGACCTCTCCACTACCACTCTCTCAACTATTGCCGTTCGAGCCGGAGATCATGCGTCGATGGTAGTGGCACTACTCAAAGTAAGTGATTGCACTACCGTATCCGTACTCGTTTCATAGATTATCGTATTTTTTCGCATGTCTTTCAAACTTGAACTGTAGTTATCAAGCAGTACTGCCCTCACGGGGAAGGGAATGTTCACCTGTACTCCCTGTACTTCAGACGATTTTTGTGGTTTCACCGATAATCGCTTCAAAACTAAGGAAATTTCTGAACTGGTAAAACGAAAAATTGAAACTATAGTAGTTGAACCTCTTCGAATTTCGAATGCTTCCAATGCCACCGTCTGAGGTTAGTGGTGCTTTCTGATAGAAACCCTCCCCAATGGTGAGTTCCTGTTGTTCTGNCAGGGCGCAACAACACGAGTGAATCACCATTCAGACAACCACAATAAACCCCATGAAACGTTATTTTTACTTTTTAGTTTCAGCCATTCACTTCATTCACGACTTATTTCTTCTTGTATTACAGTCCATGGGCTTTGTGGAGGTGCGAATCGACGAAATGAGACCTGGACTTTTGGAGATTGGAGAGTCCGCAAGTGAAACGGCCAATTTACTCAGTATCCACGATGATCTCTTGAAAAGGCTAGCGGTCAGTCTTCAATTATCTTGTTTTCACTAACGTCTCGAGATATCTCGTACAATGGTCCTTGTCATTTGCCTTTATTTTTAACATGAAATGTTGTTGATTTCGTTATGTGCCGAGAGCAGGTGCCGACGTGTGGGTGGACGCGCCCACTTTGCTTATTCTCATGGGTGAGGCCTCTCGGTTGTGTATGACGCTCTTGAAACCATCTTTAACTCTTGCAAGGGGAGGGGAATGTAACTCAATCTTCGAGCAATAGCGTGAATAAGTTGATACCTCACTGGAGCGTAGCTGACTCATCTGTCTCAATCGACGTAGCAACACAGATGCTTGTGTGTAAAGGTGGAATAAAATCTCATAAGTTGCGAGATGGAAAAAGAATGTTAAGTACTGAAGCACTGCAAAGCACATATAGTAGGAAAAACTTCTTGGTTTTTTTTTTTGAAAAAGAGCCCGTGATGTGTATTGCGAATGCCTTCAGATGAATTGACGGCCCATGTTGGAGACCCGTACCAGTCCCTCATTTTTTGTTGCTACATCCACCATTTGTGTGTTCACATCATTCCAACGACCAACACGTTCCATTTTTACAACATTCCTATGCGAAAAGTGGACATCGTGGAGGCAAGAGAGACAGAGAGACTGATTCAAGGATGTGCAGAGTGGCAGATCGAGGAATACAGCTCAAATTTCCCTTGTTATTGTTGTTGCCCTATTCGACTTCAATAATTCTGTGCATTTTGTTTCTTTCTACACAGTTCCCGAGGGTAGAGTAGAGTTATTTTTCATTTCTTCTCAGACTAGGTGCGTAAAGGGATCGGGAGCAAATCCTTGCTTGAAGATCAGAATTTACGTGTGTATAATGAAAGTTCTGACACTTGGTGAAGGCTTCGAAATTTCTCAAATATTCTCATAAAGGTGGGCTTGCAAATTCAGTATTGGCCAAAAAAAGAATTATGCACGATATTTTTACAGGGTGGCCGTAGCTGCATCTATGTAGCTCGGAGTTTTGCATAGTTACGAGTAAGGACTCATCTTTAGGGCTAAACACGCCTTCATCGTAACCNGGTATTGTGAGGAAATTTCTCGAGTAAGAATAACAATTATTCATCTGCATAGATTCAAATGAGCGCTATCAAGGTGATAAAGCGCTATTAATAACCCTGGGTCTGGATAATTGTTCTATGAAACCATAAAACTTGACCTTGACAAATAGGTGCTTCTGCACTGCTTCTTTTTGTGGTTACCTAGCTATTCGAAAGAAAAGGGTGTTTATAGTGAATGGCAACTTATTTTGTTGACAAATTGCTATACCTGATGTGTTCCTGACTTCAGTTTCAAAAAACAAGTTGTAATTTTTACAAGTACTCGGCCTTGTAAATAGAAGCTGAAAGCTGAGAAAAGCAGCAACAATAGCTGGCAGCATTGGTATCCCTCGCTGTTGTTCGCTCTGGTCTCCCATAGGATGCGTAGTCTCCCATCTCTACCTAGAGAATAAGAGCTTATTCATAATAGAAGTTTAAGAGAAGTTGCGGTTGCAAATGTCAATTCGTACGGAATCGTTTAAAGTTTAAAGGATAAAGTTTTTGGCGTTGATCAATCCCGTCTGACGGATGCGCCCCGCACTCGACTTCCATTCAGAATCGTAGTGGCGTTATGAGTGCGCATGTGGCCTGTACAATGAATTGCGGTGGCCAGCCGATGTACAAGTCAGGGCTTTTATCCTTCCAGACAGGTCTGCTACCAATTAACCGACCCCGAAGGGATGAAAGGCTTGGTTTGCCTAGTTGGATATCGACCCGGAATTCGAACTCCCGATCTAAGAAATCGTAGAAAAGGCTAAAGGCGAAAAACGATGGGTGGATACCGATGCCCATCAAATTTGTTTTGAAGCCTCAAACTGCAGACTACCTATGAACCTTATGTATTCTCATTGTCAGATTGAGGGGACCGACCATCTGTAACTATAAAACATCACATCTGAAGGTTGCAATCGGTTGTTTTATGACTTTATGCCTGCTTAATGCTTATTGTGACATGGTATTGGCACATGGCTTGTGAATCATCGCATTGCCACCATGTGTATGTCTTCTGCCACACCTTTTCTCATGAAGCATTATCTCTCCAGCATTCCATTAGTCGATTTCGTGAAGATGGGAATCCCCATCTTCACGAAATCGTACGGGGTTAATCCTACGTTGGAGTTTTAAACCCGAAGCCCATCACACATGAACTTGTGTCTATTCGTCATACTTGCGACAGCGGGTCAATGCAAAGGCAACCTAACTGAAATGAAACCCGTCCTTTCAAACTTCCTTTATTGAATTTTTCATTCCACTAGTTGCTTGGTCTACCGTATTTGAACCTCGTCCTCAGCTAGTGACTAGTCCCGCTTTTTTCGTAGCGAAATACGTAAATGCGGTTTCTATTGGAGAGCACATGAAACAAAGTTCTTTGACGATCATTGCAAATGTGAAAAGGTGACGGTGTTTCATTAAAGGCCACCTTAGAACTAGTCAGAAATAGCGTCGAACAACAGTTAAGTAAAAAATCCTTTCACCCCTGAATGTGCGCTTATAGAGGTACTGAAAGCCATGAAGATTCATGCGTTTTTTTTTTCAAAAAAAAGATTTCGTCGAAAACGTTTTGTGAAAAAAATGTTGAGTAGTCTTTAGAGAAAATCCTCAAATCTCAAAATAAACCTTCAACTCAAGACCGCCAAAAAAAGAGCAAGATCCTGAAAATATTACAGTTTCTTCCTTCCAGGAGAAAGACGACCAAGTGGCAGCCCTCCTAACAAGAACCGATAACCTTAGCTCTGAGAAAGATGAAAAAGAAGCGATCGTCTACGGTGACATGGCCAAGGGTCTCAGAGAGGTAACGCTGCTCACCTTCTTTTGAGTAAAACAGAAAGTAAGTAAGTCTGTTCAGGCATGGAGTGGCTTACAAAAACAGCTGATGCTCCGAGGTTATCTCTTACGCGAAACGCTGACATTCCATCGTCTAGGTGATCACCATGAAAAGGTCAGTGTCAATCAATTGCTACGTACTGTGTTTCCGTTCGGTTTGCTTTTTTACTTAGTACAGAAATAAGGAATATTTTATCAAATTTTCCGTTTTTACATAAATCACCCAGACGAATTTCCCTTATTTGATCTGGTCGTTTGATGTGAGTTAGGTGAAACGTGAATGCGAAGTTTTGGCAATGAAAGCCATCCCTTTTTAAATCGAATTTTTCAAGTGGGGCATCATCTTCTTTCGACGGCTGTTAGTGAGCCCTGTAACAGACGAAATCATTGTAGCGAGTAGAATAGCAGCAAGCGCACTTTCTAAACATATGGCTGTTTTGAACTGAAGCCGCTCTCGTCCCATAAATCACAGTTTTACGATTTTGCTCTTGTAAAACTCTTGGCTTCTACATTACTATGATTGGTATATAGGGCAATAAGAGAAACTTTAGTGAACCTATTCAACATTGGATTTACGGAATTCGAAGTTAGAATCATCGGAACAATGTTTTCTTGCTTACTGTCTTTACTAGCGAATACCTTTCTCTTTAGTTCCTATTTGGAGTGGTCTATTTGACCTAGCACTATCGTCCATATGTAACACCAGCAGGCTGTTCTGGCCGAAACAGACCAGTTTTCATGACTTCTACGATTTTGCAGTCCAAAAGTTGAAGTTTTGAATATATATTTATTCATTTATTTGGTGCACGCTTAGGTCGCTAACTACAAGTCCCCAATCATATTAACTCAACAACCTGCAGTCAAAATAGAAGTAAAGCATGGTTTACAACAAAAAGAAGAAAAAGTGCGTAGAAAAAAATGAACCGAAGTAGAATTGCACTACACTAACGGAAGGTCAGATAGGTAATAAGAGCTGTATGATAGTTGAAGAGCATTCACATCAGATTTTAGTTTCGGGATAAGCAAGTTCTGAATATTGGTATACAGGTGGGTTAGATCGCCCTGTCCGGGGTCGCCGTGCCCAGAAGACGGGCAGGATGAGCGGTCAGCAACAGTGACCCAATGGGCCGAGGTTCATCGAGAGCACCATGTGGAGAGTGACCCAATGTACTTGAGCTATCTCAGTGACTCACTACAGCTTTTTTAATCGAAGATATCGGGAAATGGAGCTGATTAGTTGTCGCTCAATGTGTGATTTGCGAAGGGTAAGAAACAAAAAGGAAATAGATTATTTCAGAACACAACTTTGAGAACTGAATAACTTTGATATGAGAAAGGGTCAAATTCACAGTCAAAATAGAAATTTGTTAATGGGAACAATTTGGATAACAGAAGACAGCTGATAGGTCTACAAGACACTGCCCTCATGGGGAGTACAGTGCAGGGCAGCAAATAATTCGATCAGGTCGTTGATGGCAGTGGCCATTTCCAACTTTTTGACGTCTATTTATGTGAAGTTATTCTGCATTGACCCGAATGAATTCCAGAGTTTGACAGTTCAGTTGCGATGCGATGTAGTCCCCACGATTCCAATTCGTAAATTTCTGGGTTTCGTTGGAGCAGAGTCATTCAATCTCCTCCTACTTTCGCCACCTCCGTTTGTTTTCCTTAGCTATCCTACCTTGTCCAACATATCTACTTCATTCATAACAACTATTTCCACATACGTTTTTGTTCCACTGCAATCGTTTCTAGAGCTTTTGGTGAGTTCAGCGATTCCCAGCGTTTCTCAGGTTTCTTTCGGCATGTGGCCACTACCCGATTGTTTCCCTTGAAGCAACATTTTCTATTGCTTCAATAGCATTTGTTCGGCACACATGTTCCTATACTGCAGAAACGTCATCCAGATGGCTGTAACCTTTTAAACCTTCTTTACTCCCAATCACTCTTCCTGAATACTTGTGTATTCCTATATCAAACATCGATCATCATCATTGACACATTTGTTTGCTCGAGAAGTCCACCAACAACTGCATCACTCATGTTGTTTAGTTTTTTCCCCTTCTATCACTTTTTATGACTTTTTTTTACTTACATCCGCCACCTGGGGTCGCCCTACGTAGCCTCGTCGCTAATCGGCTGGGATCCTTCAGTGAGAGGGAACCTTCAGTGAAGGAGATCATTACTTACAGTGTCTATTGGAGCTCCTCATTTCCCTGCTCAATTCAAGCATGAAGACGTTTTAACCTACTACAATGTAACTCATCAACTCTTTTTCATTCCGGTGAAGGACGCATCGAACCCTTCCGAGCTTGGAACATGCGGAAAAGCCGTAGTTATCTTCTGTTATTTATCCTTACCATACATTTATTTATAAGCTATTTTGGCTGAGGTAGTGTACTGGCAAATGGCGAACACTATCACATGCATGGATCTGGGATCGGATCCTTGACCAGTACCCGCTTAGGCCAACTAAGCCTCTGGTGTAGGTTGGTTAATGTCAGTCCGGAAGGGTGAAGCACCGACTTGCAGATTGGCTGTCCACCGCAAATCCTTTCTTTTCTAGGCCACATATTTTTTTCACAAGCGCCACAACTATGGGAGTCGAATAGTGGGGGCTCAAAAAAAGGATTGCCTCACTTTAATGGACCAATTCTTTTATTGGTCATATGTGATTGCTCTCTTCCTAGCTCATTGGCATACAATGTAGGACAGATAAGGAGCTCCTCAATCGAAAAGAATGGATTGCAAAAGTGAAAAGTCATAGAGAAGAAAAAAAACATAGTTCTATAATCGAGTTTTCATGGCATTGCCTATAGATGTGCTGCTTTTTCTTTATTTTTATGATTTTTGTTGCTAGCAGTAGCTTTCAGCTAGTCAACAGTATCACACAATCATTCAAAGCGGCTCACCAAACTCAAAACGGATACGATGCCTCCCTCTCCAAAAAGACTGATGCTATGATGAACGGTGCACCAATTTTTTTCCATAGGCTTTTCCCAAGTCTTTGAAATTCAGCTTATTTAGAACTGATCGACACCACTGCACAAGCAATGGATGTTGGATCATCGGTCATCACTCAGATTCGAACACTGGGCCCGACTTCTGATAACCCCGATCGCGACCAGGAGATGCTAGCATCGTGTGTTCTTATTGAGAAAATCATGCTGAGGTATTTTTCTCTCTTCGAATTCGCTTACATGTTTGGATTCCATAGCTGTCCCTCAGGGATTTCTCATTCCTCCCGGTTTGCTCGAAGAAAGTTGAATTGTTTCTTCATAAAAAGGGTGAGTAACCACATATAGGCAAAATCCGTACTGTAACTGATCAGGAATTTTTAAAGCGGGATCAATTCTGATGTTAAAGCACCCATCGTAGAATAAGAAGATTGTGGCCAACTGCTAAACTATTCTAATTTGGTCGAGAAAGTTTGACTAAAGACATGCCAGCTTGAGCGCTCGATTTATTACTATGCCGATATCTCCGGTCAAATAACTCTCATAAATCATCTACCGATGTGTTTCTGTTTTTGACTACTGCCTTCCTCGTATATTTTTTCGTAAGTCGTCGCCATTCCGAAAGAGTCGAGCTCAACTCCTCACACAGAGATTGCTGTTCGAGTGGTGGTTGAGTGGTATGACATTCTACCCACACCCAGTGACTTCATTAAATATCGAAGGTAGTAGATAGAGTGGCTCGAGAGGATAACCTCTTCAACTTCTCTTCCCAACCCTCCTGTCCCTTCGCAGTTGGGAAAACAAAGGTAGTTGCTAATGAAACGAGTTTGAAGAATACTATATTTTGAAATGCGTTGGTGTTGGGATTTACATATCTCTAAATACTTCATGGGCGACTCTTTGTTATATAGTAACTTTATTTTAACAAAACCTAATAATGTAAAATGGCCATAGAGGAAATTATTGACGCAATAAAAAAAAGCGAGAGAAATGGGGGTCTACTGTTTATATAGGTTGCTGTACCTCCCACGGCCACAATTTTCCTCAAGAACGGCGGTGCACGAAGTAATATTCAGGATCGGAAAACATGTGCTAGGGCTTGGATTTCGGAGTATTTCAATTTTTCGGGCAAGAGTATGTAGCATGCCAAATTTACATATGTTTTTCACTTTTTTTGCAATTGGTGGTGGCAATTGACAAATTTGAGAGAGGTATTTCTTTCCCAAAACGTTGCCCTCTCGATATCTGTGCACTATAGCTCTCCCGAAAACCTCACACTATCACTCTCTACCTCACAAACGGCAGTCGTAATGAATAGAGGTCTGGAGGCCACAATTCTGTTCAGTTCCACTTTGGTATGCACCCTGAAGCCTGATATTCCTTTTGTGCTGAACGGAAGGAACACATCTGAATCTCTAGCTACAAACACCTTGATCAAGGAGTCAACAAGATACCTCCCTATCTGAGCAGAATGAAACTTCTGAAAGTAGAAGAAAACTCACGGAGTGAAGGGCAGCGAGGGAATAGTAAAGGAAGAAAGGGTTCGGCTCCAAGCTCACTTCTCGACATTGTTCGGTGTTCCCTGGTACAAGAGTGCAGGGCGGTATCCGAATTAAAAGCTACGTCAGAGAACGGAGATCGGAAAGCCGATGCATATGCCATGGAATCGAAGATCAGATGAACTAGTTATGTAATGTGGTTTTGTGATAGCCACAAGTCCGAAGCGGTTACTGACTGTATCTCTCGGGTCAAACGAGCACCAGGACAGTAGCCAGCATGGTCAAACCTCTTCAAAAGAGTTCCGAACACAACAAATGATAGGTCCTAAAGCGAAGAGAGTCCTACTGAACTTTAACGGCTATCGAAAGAGACGAGACATTGCTACCCCATTTGGTAAACCGATGATTGGAGGGGCGATAGGTTTTACAGATGATGCACCGTGAACCACGATGTTAGTTCAGGTTGAAGGGAGCAGCAGTAGCGCTCAAAATCGTATCAATTCATTATAGTGATTTATTGTTACCGCAACTCAACTTGATCAACCAAATCTCCGTTCAAAGGTACTTCATTTCACTTGCTGACATCCTCCTAGCGAGAGGCGATCTCGAACGAGTCAAAAAAGAAACAACTGTGAAGGTAGCTCCATGCGTAGTACTTTCGCATAACCTGCAAAGCATTGACCAGCGTCTTTCCTCGTAAAATCCCTCTCAGAGTTGTGTTCTTCTCTCAGCACCTACACTTGCTGACTTGTGGGGTAGCCTTGCTTATACGATTTACCGTCTTAATAGCCTTATGTCAAACAATATCAATCCCATAGATTTTCAACTTACTGCAATAATGCCACTACTGCAATATTACAATTGTATTTAAAGAGTTATTACATCGGCTCAGAACACCTTACCTTACCTGGCCCTGGTCGATCAAATTATCATAAAATTATCAAAACACCAATCAAACTAATTGTTACCATGATATGTGCGATGTTCTCTACATTTTATAAATTTTCTGACTCTAATTTTTGCTCCTTACAAGATCGCTGATATCGTTCTCATGAAGCTCCCATTTTTTTTTTGTTTTTTTTTGCTCATGTTTTGAAAGGTTTTGAAGTTCCTGGGCCATACAAACGTTGTTAAATTGGCCAAGTCTGGCAGAGAGGTCAGCAATCGAGATTACCTCATTCAGCGAGTCGAAGGAGGTGCAAGGAGGTGCAAAGAGACCCCAAGTTCTGAAGTTGCTCACCTTTGCGAGAAAGTCGTGCTACCACTAGGACGCTAATCATTGGAGCAGCCAATACTTCAATTCACCACTTTCTTCAGCTTTCTCTATCTGAATGCTCATTTTTAATACTTCGCTTCCGAAGCTACCGTTGCCTTCTTTACTTCTTTGCTTACAACTTTTCCCAGTCTGGTCAAATACGACTCTATGTTATGGGTTTGCAATACTCCTTTAAAGGCACAGTTCGCAATAATGACGTACCCTTTTTAGGTAGAGAAGTGTAAGTGTTGATGTAGAGGAGTACATTGGTGGCGAAGAAAGCGAGAAAGCTCGCCCTCTTCAAGGCTTTTTAAAAGTAGCGGAAGTGGAGGTTGTTCGAGATCACCGTGTTAGTGATGGCACGTAAGGGGTGTTAGGTTGTTAAGTAAATTGTTTGGACTCCCTACACGGGAGTCTCTTCAGATAGTGCAGCTTCTACAAAGCCGTTGAAACTGGTTCACGATGGGTGTGGCACTCACACGATACAATCTCTGGCTCCCTATTGTGCCCTATCCAGTACGTTTTTCGCTCTTATAACGGTAGGCGGTGCATAAGAGAGAGCCCCGAATTCATACTATAGGGTAATCTCAGAAACCATTCTTACCGTGAACTGTGCCTTTGAATCAGGTTTGCTTTAGCTTTCTGTTTTCTTTCAAATTTTAATGACAGATTACTTATGAATCCATGGAGCACGATCTTTTTTGACAAAAACAAGCATGTTTCCTGTTGAAATTGCGCTTCGATCGGGTTGTGTGTTGTTGTGATTGTTAGAGAAACCCTAACAGAAAAAATGAAAGAGGTGCTAAGCGGATAATAATGCCTGTCCTATCGTTCTGTGTAAAAACAGAGGAAGTTTAAAAGGATTCAAGCTACGGCTTTCATACGGCTAAATTTCAGACTCCTAATTGAGCTAAATTAATTTTGCCAATATCTTGTACTCGGTTGAAGTAGTTTTACGAAAGCTGACTTGCTACTTTGCCGAGGGTTTACTGCCAATCACACATTACGACTGGGAGTTTTTGTGCAACGCCTACTCGGTTTCACGATTTACATTGACACAACCCTTTAAACTCCAAGGGGTTGCAAAAAGCCCCCTAACTTATTACCTCCTCGCGTGGAATCACGCTCCGACGGGGCGTTTCAGAGCCAGTATCAGAGAGTTGTTAATGAACTACAAGAGGTTTGGAACAACAGTGAACGTGAAAATTGCACGTATGTGAAGCTTTCGGTGGTGTAAGGTGGAGGTGGTGCAGTTGAAATTGGCGCTTGTCGTCACACGCATGGTACGGATCCGAATTTCTTGTTCAAAAGTGATCAGCGCGTTCCCCATCTGCGAAGCAATTCTGCTCAGAAGGATCCACTGAACTCAGCACAGCATGCTTGAGAATACGAGGATGAAAAATATTCTTCCTCTTCCTTTCCGAAAAAAGCAATATGTCTGGTGGAAGAAGAAGGAGAATGAGGATGGTAAGGGGGAGGGGGGAGGAAGGGGGAAGAATCCATTTGCCCGTAGCAATCACTTCGTTGCCATTGGCCGTAACTGTAAGGTCAAAGGGCTCTTGCGCGAAGGTATGGGGTACGTTGGTTGCGTGCGGAGATTGCCACAGTAGGATCATTTATGTCGAACATCAACTGATCACGGCAACTCCTTTGCGTAGGACATAGAATATCATTGTCGCGTGATGATCACTTTTAAATAGATGTTGGTTTTCAACAGTGTTGGAGAGCATGGCGTATCCCGAAAGGATCTGTTCATGTAAAGTACAACAGCCGTTTCGCCCTAATTCGAGTCTCGTCAGTATTTTCCATGTTACGATCACGCCAGAAAATACTATTTTCAAAATAGCATTAGCAAAATTCAGTACAAGTTGTAATCAACTCTCTAATGCCCCCTCCTCTCAAAGTATCTCGAAGCCATGGAAAACATATCTGATCTGTTAAGTTCTCACTACGGCCCTTACTACTACGTTATTACACGAAAGGCAGTCGATTGGAGTCTTTTTCATTTCTTCCAGTTTCAAGAGTCGCCTCCACTTTCTCCAACTTTGCTCTTGCTTTATTGTGGGCATAGTTGTTTGCAATTATATTATTTTTGTGCTGTGGGAGGTTTGTAGATGAAGCATTTTACGATTTAATGGCCTAACGTTTCGACGCAAGAGACGCCCGTTTCAGAGGCCTAAACGCAATCCGAGGTGAATTGCATGTCATCCTACAAGGGTCCTATACCCCTCTTCTAGACCTGATGCCCAATTAGCAACTCGTATTTTGAAAATCGACTCACCAAGGTGCCACCACTGGCTGCTTTCATAGTCCGACGGCCGGTGCGCGAGCGGGCGAGCGATCACTCGAGTTACGCGCGCCGGCCGATGGACTATGAAAGCAGCCACTCAGACGGGCAGAATGCGCTGCCGCCATAGGCGACACGATGTAGCGATTGAGACTTCCTGCTGTTTCCTGATAGTTCTGATGAGGAAGATCACCTACTGAGTCGTACGAGTGTACAATATGGGTCTCTTTAGAATGTCTTACGAACAACGATATCCACACTATGACAAAAGATAAGTAGTTCTGGACGAACATTCATCTCTACAGTTCGCTTGAGAATTTGTTTGAAAAAATCAGAACGTATTTAATGCTGACGA